GTTTGGGCAACAACACATAAAGCAAAATACTTCCTGGTGCAAAACAGTCTAAAGGTAAAAACTACATCCTAAATCTTTGCTGTTTCCCATCCATTTGTCCAGGTTTGACCTGTAAAGGGCCTATTCTGGCTCGTGGGACGCATGTTTGACAACCCGGGTTTAAATGAACTAAATAATGTGCTGGATGCTGTTTGTGCAGAATATTTTTATATGCACTGACCGTAATGATTCATCTGGAATGATTGTTATCAGAGATATGTTAAACATTCAGTCATATTGTAAAAAAAATCAACTGTAGAACTCATAACTGTGTTTAATAGTTAAAATAAGAGCTTTTTCACGTGCACAATATTATGAGAACTCAAAGGATGCGGACTAAACAGCTGTGTAGCTTTAAGAAAACCACTTCTCTGTGATATTAATCTGGTTCAGTTTGCCAGTAAGCTTGAAGACTGGACACTAGAGCAATGGAAAATATCATGCAGTCATTTGTATTATTGTAGTGTCTTGGCCTTACAATATAAAGCTCCTTGAGGTGACTGTTGTGATTTAGCAATATATAAATTGAATTGAATTAAATTGACCTTTTCCATAGTGGTTTGTACATCAGGGTACGAAGTGAAGCCGATGAAGTGAAGCACCCCTCATGCTTCATGCTCACAGCCTGTGGGGACGGTGTTATTATGCAGGGTCAGCTGGACCACCTGGATAAACTGCACGATGGATTCTTTTTTTTGTTTCTCATCCAAGATATCGCGGACATATTCCAAGATGACAATGTCAGAATTCATCATCCTCACATTGTTTGGTTCAGAGAGCATGAGACATTGTCACACATGGATTAGCCAGCACAGAGCGCAGACTTTAACCCCACTGAGAATCTTTGGGATGTACATGAGAAGACTTAATGCAGCAGAGGCGGTCCAATGAAATATTAGCGTCGGACTTTGAATCCTCATCCTGACCACCAAGCTGGAAGTGACAAGATAAAAAACAGAGCTTCACTATTATCACGCAGGGCAAAATGGTTTAACACAGGAAGAGACTATTAATGGAGTCTGTAGGTCTTATAGGTTATGAATGTGCTGAATCAAGTTAATCAGTCATTAGATTGTTTATATATGTGTAATATATTCACTGTACTGCACAGGTCTTGTGTGTGGTTGCTGCAATGATAAGTAAAATAATTTATTTATCTATTTATTTATTTTTTTCAGCCTGCAAGTGTAATGGCCACGCAAGCATGTGCAACCCTAACAATGGCAAGTGCTTCTGTACCACCAAGGGCATCAAAGGAGACAGATGCCACCTGTGAGTTTCACATTTCATGATGCTCGCCTGTCTCTCTGTCCTCTTTTTCACTCATGCGATGTCTGAAGTCTTTACTGTAATATTTTGCACCCCTAGAATTCAGATTGCTTGTGAGGGTACCGTAGACTTTATTTTCTAGTTTGTCTCTGTCCAGCAGATCCATTATGTGTTACATCCAGAGAATCTGACAGCACAATAGTGGTACCGGTCTATAGAAAACCCTCAAATAGCCCTTTTTAACTTTTCTAGGAATTTTTTTCTTGAAGATGGTCCTTTGTGATAGTACGGGCTTGTAGTTTAGCACTTTGGGGATCAAAGCTGGTAACTGGTCAATCACAGGCATCAAGGCGTCTGCAATCTGTGTACCGTGAAAACAACATTCAGCGACGAGTAAAAATGTGAATTCCTTTTAATGATTTAGTCAACTTCTCCAAAAATTAACAGCATACATGTATTTGTCAGTTGTTGAGCTAACCTAAGAACGAGCCTGTCAAACCATCAGCAGATTGAGAAATGGGTTTCCAGTAGTCAACAACCAAAATTGCTGAACCACATGAACTTCAGTGGGTTTTTTTCCTCCCCTGAAATGTTATTTTCCAGACCTTTAAAGCCACATGTTGAGATTTCAAAATGAAAAACTCTAACCATGGCACAGCACAGCAGCAGCTGTTCATTAGCGCTTGCAGCTATATTTTTAGTACTTGTCTTAACCCTGGACTTCATTATCAGAGGGTTTTCCAAAATCCATTTAAAAAGTTGAGATAAGGTTTCACAAATGATTGGTCATCAGTATGAAAATGAGGCCTTTTTTTCGCCTTATTAAATTTCTTTAAAGATTTCGTAGGCACACGTTTCCTATGAATTCCCATCACGCTCACTCGGTCTCCTTTTAATCTTTTTTTTTATTCTTTTACACTGTGGTGTTACTTCCTGACTGAAGGTTAACACTTTTCTGTCTTCCGCCCTTCCCTCTTTCCTTTCTTTCTGACTTTTCTACCATCCCTGTTCATCTTTCCCTCGCCTCTCTTCAGGTGTGAAGTCGAGAACCGCTACCAAGGCAACCCCCTCAAAGGAACATGCTATTGTAAGTGGAATTACAATTACTAACGTCAGGAAAGGGGTTTGTGTGTGCGTGCGTGTGCGGTGTCACATTAAGAGAACACTGTGAGGTCTGAATCTCTTCCTTGTTCATGTCAGTGGCAAGACAGCAACACGGCTCCTAAATCAAAGCAGTTTGATGTTTAAAAAATAACATCCAGAGCCAGAGCTGCTCTTTTAAACAAGTCGCAGGTGGAAAGAATTGAAAGTGAGACGCAGATGAAAGTGCCAAAAAAATGCAGGTAAGCTTATAAAGGACCGTCTTGCTCTTTTTCCACCTGTGATAAGTCATTTTGCAGACAGATTGCAGTACAGCGGTCCTGCCATTTTTAATCTCATTATCTGATGATTATGGAGGCTAAAGTGATGTCACGTTGGTCTTATCATCAGTACTTTCTAACCCAAACAAGCTATAAATCATGTTGGACTGTATAGTGTTAAATTTTCACACTGATGGAGGAACTAGGTCATCCATTGTGCTACTTTAAAAGTATTTATGTTTTTATTACCCTGTATTCTGCTAAGGTGTGAAAATGTTTCTAAGGCATAAATGAGCATGGAACATTAAGTGTTATCCATATTTACCCTGAATTAATTGGATAAGTAATTGGATAGTTTGTGAAAAATCAATCAACTGTAAATTCATTCCTCATCAGATTATTAATCCATAATGGAATTTAACAGCTAGCGTACCCCGTGGTTGTTCAAACACAGCTTATTTTTGGTAGCAGCTGTTGCTATTTGTGGTTGTAGCAAACGGCCCCGTCATCCAAACACACTGCAACTTTAATAAAGAAGTCTGGCAGTAATTTGTAATTGGGAATTTTCAATCAGCCCGTGAGCCACGGTGATCTGATTTTCTGCTTCGCACAATATGAGTCTATGTCCCCTCTGTGTTCGGTTACCTTGCTGGGAGCTTAGAGGCGTGCTGCCAGTGACTGCCGGCTCACTGTGGCTGCTCCTTCTTGTCCCATTACTCCCTGTAATATTTCAAAACGACCTGCTGTCAAAGAAATGCCAGCAGGGACTGTTGTTTTGTATGTGCGTTCGTGGGGAACAGTAGTGGCAAGCACTCGGTTCCTGACACAAGCTGCATTTCCTGTTACTACCTAATAATAAATATAAACTCATGTCTGCCGGTTACATTCCTGTTAATGTGAAGTTGAAGCAGTTGGGAATGTTTTCTGTACATTAGACGTTAATTACATTAGTGTTTTTTAATGACAGCACCATGTACTATTATTCAGATATCTATAAAGCTTCTGATCAGTGTTACCCTTGCTGTATGGGGAGGAAACAAACTAACAAAAAAAACCCCTCCAATTTTTCCAAGTACGTGATCCAGCTGTTTAAATAGATTTTTGACTGAAGTTGAACTTTTTGTTTGACTTTGGAAATTATTTGAGGTGGGATTATTTTATGTTTACTTATTTTCGAGATTTGGCCCCATCTAAATCGCTTTTATCCAGATTATTTGAGTGGAACTGTAACTGCAGAATAACCCTGGCGTCTGAATGCGTCCGTCTCCCCTGTTTTGAACTTCAGTGTTTTGTTGCGCTGTTCTGAAAGTGACCTTCGGCTGTAATTTACCGCTAACTGACACGCTGTCATGTAACCCATCCTCTGTCCTGACCTTCATCACAGAGCACGCTCCAAAATCTTCAGGTCTCGAATCGAATGTTTGAAACGGGGAAAGAATGGGAGTAATTTCCCGCCCGGAGCCCTGTCTGAAACCATGTTCTTGTGTGACTTTCAAACTAGACTGATTGAGTTGTTCTTCTGCTTCTTTTTGTAATCCCCACCACGTTCCTCCCACGCTGGCTCACTGGCTTCAAACAGACACGCTCCTCATCGACTACCAGTTCACCTTCAGCCTGTCGCAGGAAGACGACCGCTACTACACGGCCATCAACTTTGTGGCCACACCTGAGGAGGTATGTGTCTAACAGTGAGCACCCCACCGCCACAGCAGCTGTCGCTTCTGTGAGGATTAGAAAGTTTACAGTTGTTGTCGAACAAATAGGCTCACTTCTTTGTCATTTTAGGGATTACTTAGATGGTAGTTCAGTAGTTTACATGCACACTGATTGTACTGGACAGGCAGGAAGCACGGTGACGCCAAAACTAACTTCAAAATAAAATAAGAATCAGTATTTAATAATCACTCAACAAACTGAGTCGACTGGTTTACTATGTTCCCTGCAGGAAAGTTTCCTCGCTGATAAGCTCGTCATCAGAGCGAAGAGTAATGTGGCCACTCATCAGAGAGTCAGTCACACAGATGTTTTTACGACAAACAAAAGCTTGTCCGGTCGTGTTTACCTGTCTGCAGCATCTGGGGCCAAAATTGAAACATAAGCATCTGATTAAATGTTCCAGATGGTATTTTTCCCCTGACAAAGCTTCTACTAAAGATTTACAAATGCACAATCAGCTACACGGGAGGGTCAACTGTTACAGCAAATCACAACATATTTCGATATATATTTATCAAATCCAGGAAACTTGTGATGAAGTTGAATTTTTAGCTGTTTGAGTTGTTCTGCAGTTATTTAGTAAATCAGAAACCAAAAGATTGTTTACAAAATATAGAATCGAGCAGAACATTTCAAATTCAAGACAAAGCGATGATAACACCTGTGACGCACATGTGTAACAATAAATAGTGAAAACATCTGGATTTCTCGCCGTCCAGCTTCAGCCGGTTTTGCTGAAGCTGTTGAAATGTTAATTGTTGCCTTTTTTTTTCTTTAATAAATAATTGATTCATGAACGCCGGCTTTCAGTTAGTGAGTAAACATCAATTACATCTCAGCTTACATCTGTTTGACATTATTTGAGCTTCACTTACAGTGAATGTGATACATACCGTGTTCAGCTGCGGTGATTATTCAAACATTTGATTTGTTAATTCGGCCTCCCATTAGCTCTGCAAATTTGCTCTGGTCTGCAATACAGTAACTGCTTGTGCAGCTACAAAGTGATACCAGAGGAGTGAACAAAGTCGCTGCTCTGCAGTTGCAGTAAAACGTAAGGGCTTTCCTGGTCTGTGTGCTACGAGCAGTTTGTTTTTCGTTTACTCTGGTGGTTGCAGTAAAAAACGGACTTGCCCATCTTCACTGAATTGTGGTTCGACCGCTATGGGGCACGTGGGGAAAATGACACCAGTAAACTGATGATGATGACTTGTCCGTGTTTCTGTCCTCAGCCAAACCGAGATCTAGACATGTTCATAAATGCCTCCAAGAACTTCAATCTGAATGTAACCTGGGCCACCAGCTTCACCGGTAAGTCTCAACAAAGCCCCCTTATTAGTGCTGCTCAACAAATTAGTCAATGAGATAATGATTGGCCAGTGATTGAAATATGCACTCAAGTGTTTAAATTAAGGTTTAAAATGATAAATATTACTGATTTTCTCAGACAAAGAAAGTGAAGACGACTGGTTTTATATTCATGTAATAACAAGTTAATAACAAGGTGTTTTTTGTCACCATGTTCACAGCTGTTTAAAAATGATATGAAAAGTCACCTGTCTTTCCATTGTAGTAGTTTCTGCACCAGGAGATTTACAAATGTGAAGTAATGCAGATATTTCATATTTGTTGTGTCAATAAAATTCCACCAGACACTGGAGCAGACACGAGAAATTCTCCTTTTCTTTTTGTTTTGTTTTTTCTTTTTTTAAAATAATTAAATGCCTCCATCATCTATAACTTTTGTATGATTTGATATTCTTGTCCTGTATTCCTGCCTCTTCCCTTTCCCCTTTCTTCTCCTCTTTTCTTTATAATCCTGTATTCCTCTTTTCTCCCTCCATCTCTGTCCCTTGTTTGTGTCACCCAGCGGGCACCCAGGCCGGAGAGGAGATCCCCATCGTCTCTCGGAGCAACATTAAAGAGTTCAAAGAAAGCTTTTCCAATGAGAACTTTGATTTCCGAAACAGCCCCAACATTACTTTCTTCGTCTACGTCAGTAACTTCACGTGGCCCATCAAGATCCAAGTAAGCAACTCATACACTTAACGATAACTGATCCGTTTTTGTTACCATACATATTTGTAAAGCAGGCAGGTAAAGACAGGCTCACTACAGATTAATGCAATACTAAAATTCTGTTCAATTTGTAACTCTATATTTATGATAAAGCTCCACTGTGAGCAATACATTTACATAAAACTGACATGTATTGATGACTC